TAAGCCATAGTATAAATTAGGGTCTGTAGAGGTTACTCCGCTTCATCCATGCATGTGGGGGGGTTTCGACTCGGTTCCAGGCCGTTGCAGGGGGCTCCAGGGCCTTGCAGGGGTTTCCAAGGGGTTCCAGGGGCCTCCAGGGGCCTTCGGGCCAGGGACCTCGAGGGGAAAACCCCAAAAAACCCGTTTTTGAACGAAAAATGCGCCCGCCGCGTACCGCCAAAGCCTCGAACCTTGGGCGAGGCTGAAATTTCATGCGGGATGGTCGGGCTGGACTAGGCCACCCACCATGGCAGGGGGCGGGGGGTGGCCAGTTGAGGTGTTGCAGGGGGAGTTTTTAAAGGGATCTGAACGCCCTGAGGCTGGATGCCTCGGCGAATTCCCCTGCCGAAGCTCTCCTTGAAGGGGCTGCCTTTTGTGGTAATGGCTACTGCTAGGGAACGACCTCAAGTAGCGCTTTTGTTGTTTTTCCAATTTGGAAAAATCCTCCTGAACCTTAAACCAAAACATTAAAACAACAAAACTGTAAATTCTAAACCGTGTGACGTGTGGCTTAAGGTAGACCCATGATTAATAGCCCCCTCCTTTTAAGGGTCTTCATATTAGGATCCCTGTTATAATCCCTAATCAGGGGTCCGCACCCTAGACCCTAAACCTTGAACTCTAAACCTCAAACCCTAAACCCTAAATAGTAGTTTCCATTTTGCTTTCCATTATCCCAATATACAACCTACAACCTACGGGCTATTCGGGCTGTTGGGTGGGGGTGCGCTTCTAGGCTTGGGTTCCCATATTACCCCCTCTATACTACCCCCCTTGGTCATTCCTTAGATCATCTTATTTGTACCAGAATCTACACTGCTTAAAGGGGGTTGTATAGGGGAGCACTATAAGGGTTATGAAGGAGGATACTTGGAGTCTAGACTCTGGCTTATTAAGGGGAAGTCTAGGGGGTGGTTAGCAGAACCCTTACTTCAGTGGTCGGGGCTGAGGGTCAACAAATTTAGGGTTTAGGAGCTCATTGAAAAAGCGCAACAGGAAGGGACCCCATCATAATTACCATTATGCCTTCTGGTAGCTGTAAAGCCCCGTGCCCTGATGGCGAACCGCACCTGGTATTCACGGACTCCTAACTCCGCTTCTCTGCGACGCATACACGCGTCGAAGGGGGTGTGAATTTCCATGTCTACCTTGCCTCATGCATGGATTGCTCATATGTACCTTTGCCGCCTTTCGCTGCCATAGCACAACTCAAGGCGCAAGACGCCCAGCTACTTGCCCTGGATAGGGAAAGGCCCTTTCCGGATTGTGAGTAGTTGCTGTGCAACGGCTTTAGGTCAGCTACTTAAATTGCTCCGCATAGCTTGACCATACAGGTTAGGAGGCTCTGCCTGTTGAGCTTCGTGACTGTGGTATTGGGCTAGTTCCGTATCATTTCAGTTTTTTTAGTACCCCAAACCGAACCGGTGGTCCAGAATAAGTTTCTGAAACATGTTTTTTCTCCCCCTTCCCCCCCTCGGCGCACCAATCAGTGTATCAGGATTCAAGACTATGCACCGATACATACAGTCGTAATCTTGGCAATCACCAGGTGTTCTCGGAGCATGATTGGTCTCAGGCTGCAAGCAGCCCAATCTACTTCGTTGCATGTGGTCACAGCTGAACCCTATCATTGCAGGCTTTGGCCCATGTGTCTCAGCGGCTTAGACGCGTCAGGATGGGATGTATTCGGAAATCTTTAGAAGTCCCGTGCTATCCTGTCAAGAAACCCAAACTGGACCCCTTGGAGCTGCAAGTAGGACCACAAAAACTAGACACTCTGAAGTCTTTGCTGTACAGCTGAGTAATGAAAACCTAAAACCGCAATGGCACTTGCGGAAGCATCAGCGTTTGGCAATGAGCGTGTTATGCTGCATCCCAGCTCTTGCTCTTCTGATCCAGTCCTCCCTCCATCACAGGCCCAAGATAATGAAACTTAATCAAGGTTTGTCGAGGCCTTCGCTAGGGGAGCGGTAGTAGGAGGGTGGGTGTAGTATAGGATCTCATACAGCCAAGCCTTATGATGTGTTATATGAGACATGGCCGATTCCATTTACCCCCACTATACATACAAATTGGAATCTAATTACGGCTTAAAGGATTTCAGCTACGTCCGACTTTGAGGCCTCACTGACTGAAGAAGACGAAGATGCAGTTTCTTCGGGAGAAGCTCGAGCCTTGGCAAACTAAAAAGATTGGCAGCTGCATGCTTGCACTGAAAGCTCGTGAGTCTGGGATGGAAATCTGTCGGCAAATGGACGCGCGACAGATATGGGCAAGGCGAACAGTGCTCAGGGAACCTCCCCCTTCACGTGTCTTGCTCCATTGCAATGCATCCTCTTAGCGCCTACTCTTATCGAACTGATACGGCATCCTGGATCTGGACGACCAGAAATAGGTGAACGCCCGCAGGCCAAAGCAACACGCAGGACCTATCTTCAGAATCCAGCAGAATGCTGAACACTCAATGCTGCTCCAAGATCTTCTAGGGCTCCCTTTTCGTGGTCCAGGTGATGCAAAGGCCACACTCGTCATCGCTCCCGGAGGCCGGCGTCCGGGGCTTTGCTGCAAAAGTTGCTTGAGCCGTCATCCAGCAGGCAGCGCTGCTCACAATCGAAATCGGCGAAGGACCGAGAACAACGATATAAAACAGACATCAAAAGTCCCTTTAAATCAATAAATGTAGAATATGTCAAATGTTAAACCTTTGCAGGACAAGGTGCAACAGATCCACGCCGCAGACAGGCTCAGCGCCTCTGCCCTTGACTTACTGGTTCTTAGTAGGGAATACGGAATATTCATCCTGTATAATACCCATACAGCATGTATATATAGAGAGCAGGTGGCTGTGGGGCCTGCGTTTTTGACACCATGCATTTTCATGCTTTTGAATGTTTTGAAGCTATGAAGCCATGGAATCTTCCAAAAAACCCTGAAGGCCCTCCCAAGTTGCACTGACGAGCACGATGAACGCATATACCTTGGATGCGCATATGCAGGAACGGTTACATATACATTAGATAATGTAGCAGTAGTCCTGCGGCTTTCGTGTCAGGCTTTCTGTCAATCCCGAGCTCAGGCACTCATGGCTGACGCTGGCCTCTTTTTGGGGCCGGACGTCTTGCTGCATGAGTAAGGTCGCTTGGCTTTAGAGCCATTGCGAACATGACGATTCAGGTAGTTGGACTGCTTTCGCTCCACCGCAAGATTGTGTAGCTTTACAAAGTAAAGGACCTTGAAGCTGTGGCGCATTGGGGAACACTCGTTCAGCAAACGTGCGTAGTTCCTAAACCAGCTGAAGACCTGCTCGGCCGCTGAAGAGTTTACTCCCTTAAATCTCTTGGCCAGCCGTTTACGGTACAAAGGGTTGCAAGGGCATCCTTTGGTGTGCCCTCTCGCATGGAATCCGTCTACCGACCAAAACTTAATTTGCTTCAGACTCTTGGTAACCTTGGTGGTAGGGAGAAAGGCGCAGGCGCGGTCCATGATCAAGCCGTCTAGGTTCTTGTAGAGGGGCAGGATTTCGGAAAGAGTGTCGCGAAGTATATCGTTGTTTTCCGGCACTGCCATGGATTTTACGGCCAAGATACGAAGGTCGCGAGGATGAACGAGCATGAACCACCCATGTCCGAAGGGCTTCATGCGCCCGTGCGCAGGCGGTTTGCCAGCATGTGGGCGAGAGTTGGCACATTTGATATGCACCTTCTGATGGCCATCAGCCACGAGCTCCTTGACGGTAGTCTTGCGTTTGGGTGGAAGAATCTTCTCATGAAGATATCGGTGGTACGCCTGGAACGCTGAAGGTGAAATCTCTTTGCCCACCGCGATACCGAGATGAAGATTTAGTGGATGAAGTTCCTGAAGTGCAACCCAGTACATGATGGCATTGGCGTGTACCCGGGACAGCCAAGTGCAATCCATGAGGCGTTGAGTACGTGTGCTGGTACGTCTGCTGAACGGCCGTAGAGGACACGAATGCTCTGAACTCAAGGTAACTGTGGTACCTCAGGTAATCGACAGTGAAGCCAACCTTGGTTGCAACAAAGAGAGCCCCAATCTCTTCAATGTTTTGGGGGTTGGCCGTATTGTACTTGTCGGAGTGCTCCCAAACAAAATTGGGCCCGTAGGTCTTGCGACAATCAAAGCTGGTGCAGCGCATGCTTTGTACCAGGACGTGTTGTGCACCATTCATGCCGTAAAGGACCGCCTTGACCTCATGCGCCGGGCGAAGAGTAGACGTAGGTGAGCAGAAGCATCGAGTCAAGTGGGTCCTGTACACGATCCTTCCAGAAGGGAGTGCGGCGGCTGGGCGCTTGCTCGGCATGCTGGACGTAGATATCTACTTCAGTCTAAGTTCTACCTGATCTAGTCCCAAAATCTATGAGAGCGCGCATCCAGTAAAGTGAGCAGCGCCGGAACAATCATCTCAAATTGCGGAGCGGTGCATATGCACAACAACGATTTTGAACGTGAGGAGGCGCGGCGTCTCTACTCTAACATCTAAGCCTTTGTTCATGGCAGTGTGCTCCAAATGTAGTAGGATGTACAAGCCTTTACTCAAGCATTTGAGCCTTGTCACTCGCAGTGCACCCAAAACGGCTCAGGATGTACAAGCCCTTGAAGAAGTCAATCATCTGAGTGCAAAGCTCGGGCCGCCTCCTCATCAGCATCATCATTATTGGTGTCGGTCCTGGGGTGCTTCGTAGGTGGGGACGTGATCTGCGGGCTAACGGCCATGATGGAGGAGCTCGTAGCGGCTCGCGGCGTGGAAATAGTGGCTTCGCCATATTCCATGGCCCATTGATCATGTGTATGCCCGCGCCTGAGGTATTCCTTTTCGGTCGGAGACGCAAGTAGCTCACTGACAAGATTGGCCTCAGCATCAAGGTACTCCTGGTAGGTTGGGGGCTTCACATGCTGACTCTCTTGGTAAAGTCCATAGAAGTGTTTGTTGGTGGGCTTCAAAAAGTCCTTCTGTATGGCGTTGTTGGCAAATCTGTGTATGATCTGCTCTGGATGCTCACTGGCTAGTCGGACATACACAGCTAGCTCGCCAACAATGACGACGGAGGCACGCTTGAGGATAGCCATCAAGTGAGGGATGGAGGCGTTATTAACCGCAGGGCTGAACATGTCCTTGAAAGCGTCCCAGGAGATGGTGTCGCCCATGAGCATTTTGGGTTCCTTTTCAGCACCCCATTCGTTGTTCAGTAGTATGCGGACTTGGTTGCGAACAAACTTCGCGGCCCTGTAGCGGGCGTCTACAAGTGTGTTCTCGGCGGCATCCAGGAATGATTTCAAATCCTCCATGTTCATAGAGTGAAGTAGGGGATCATCCAAGAGGACAGGCGCATGGATTTCCCCGGGCCTTTCTCTGAACCCATCAATCTGTTTTGAGCGCCTCCAGCCAGGCACATGTCCTTCAAGACCACGGGCTACCACCAGGTGCCTCGCAACTGCCATGGCAAGTATGATGGCAGTGGGAGTTTTACCAGCGCCGGCTTTGCCAAGTAGGATAAGGTCATGCTGGGAAGCACCAAAGGCACCACTTTCTCCAGGAACTCTTGATTCAGATCGTGGAGTAGAAGTGGGAAGAAGTACTCAGGGTCTGTTTGGGAATTGCCCATGGTGCGGTTGACGCAAGCCTTGTTGACAATGTGGTGGGGCCAGCCGTAGATTGGAGACCCCCGATCCCGAATATTGAGTAGTGTCCACAGAACTGTTCGTTGTTCGTATTCGACAAAGGTGCCTGGTCGTTGATGAACTCTATGCCCCTTCTGAGTTCATCTTCACTGGGTTCCCAATTCTTTCCATCACCGTCGTCCTTCACGGCCTTGGCTGAAATTTTGTCCATCACAGACTGCGAGAGCCACTGCTCTCCTGGGGTGTGCTGGAGCATGTGCAAGAAGGCGCACTTGACATGGTCACTATTGTTGGCAATCTGGTAATTGATTACCATCACCTTCTGGTTGCAGAAGGCCTTGGCGAGACCCATGGGGATGAAGGCAGTGGAATGGAAAAAATTGAGCACAGTGTAGGTGCCCTGTGCGTCGGGGGAAATTGCCATTTGCAAGACGCAAGCATCTCCAAGTGCATCACGGGGGCGTCCGAGATTGGGAGGGTCAGTGTTCATAGCTTCGCGAATACGATCACAGTCTTCGGGGGAGACACCTTCAATGAGATGGAAAAACTCTTTGAACTTTTTACCCTTGGTGTGGGGCGCGTCTACCAAGGGCAAGTCCTTAATGCAGAATTCTCCCGTGTCATTGAGGTTGTGAACGAGTGAAGCGTGGTACTTGACATAGAGGGTCTTGGCCACGATCATTGCGTGTTCCATGGTGCCAGGCGCAAGCACGGGGAAGTGACGTATGATTACACTACACAATCGACGCTTGAGCGCGAGTATAGTTGAAGCATGTTGAACAACAGCAATGGCAACTACGCAGGCGAGGCGCGAAAGAGAGCATGTTTATAAACACGAGCTTGTTTATAAGCAGGCCCTCGTGTATACAAACACAACATATATATAATTCTTTTCCGAAATACGCCCAAGTCGTGGTGCTGTTGCATTAATTACTGTGCTATACTACAGCCCTCACGTCTCAGCACTCAATGCCTCAGTCCTCATTGGCCCAGGCGCGCTTAGCCTTGTGGATCTTCTTCAAGAGGGACCTGGCGATATTCTGCTTACGCTTCTCCTTGTGGTGGGACGTCTCCAACAAGGAAAGGCCCTGCTGCTAAAGGTCGGCAAAGTCGGACTGCCACGTGTGTGTGTCGCTGGGCAAGGGCCACGACGAAGACGCGGAGGAGGATGTGGATGCCGATGACGAATTGGATTCTGAATCCGAAGATGACTCTGCTCCCTTGGAATTGGCAGCATCATCAACCTCGGTGTCGTTAGCCACAGAACCGGGGATGCCATCTTCGGTGTCCAACACCTTAGTGTTGGCGGCCACTGGGTTCTCAATCACGGGGTTCATCACGGTGTCCTTGGTTACGGGGCCGGGGATGCCATCTTCATCGTCTGAAACCGTAGCGCTCGCAACCATTGGGTTCTCATTCACGGGATCGGGATCCGAGATGGGCACAGGGTTCACGATGTCCCTTGAGGAGCCAGCACCATCCGAGATAGGCACGGGGTCCACGATGTCCCGTGAGGAGCCAGCACCATCCGAGATATGCACGGGGGCCACAATGTCCGTTGAGGAACCTGCACCATCTGCAATAGCGTGAGGGCCTGTGGTTTTGGCGCCGCCTTTCTTCGGATTGGACAACCACTTGACCAACATATCCTGTGCATCTGGGGACCAACCACCCTGCATGCCGGTCGCGAACTTCAGGCAACGCTGGATGTAGTTGATGTGGCTTTGGATTTGGCGCGAGGACAAGTGCATCTTCGAAGGATGGATGTTCGGCAGCGCGAGGATGTTTGCGATAGAGGGCGGAGTAGCACCTGAGGCAGCGTCCGATGACGTAGTAGTGCTGGGATTTGCGTTAACGAGGTCCATGCTGGCGAATTGGAGCTTACAAACGCCATTCTCTACCTCGATGAATCCAGCTACTGCCGCTGATCTCTTCATCACGGCCTACGCTGCTACGGGAATTGCTTTGCCTCAATCCTGGATTGCTGCATGGGGATCATGGTGATACAAGGTCTCATGCGATAATGTGTCATGGTCATGGTCTGTCGCGTCATCGTGTCGAATTTTACATAGCAATCGTGTCAGATTTAGGTTAGGATAGCAATAGTGTTAATTTAATCCAAATGCAGTCGAGGTGCATATATTTGATTAATACCTTTAGGGTATAGATAAATAAGGGGGCCCTTAGGAGTAAAAGAAAACCACAGATACACACGATCACCACGATCACGACGTACCTGAGATCCGTACCTGAGGCCAGTGGCGGAGGGGGGGGGGTAGGGACTCTTGAGCTTATGTTCCAAGACCTCTCCCCCCCCCCTCCCCCCACCGTGTTTATAAACACCAGAAGAGTTTATAAACACATGGGTGTCTACAATACATCACAACATCACATCAACATCACACGGACATGTTAACTGAAATGCTTTGAAGTATTGCTATTAGCAAATTATATATAGGAATAGGAAGAATCAATGAGGACACATATCATATCAGACATCAACAGTTTAACAGAAGGTGTGACTGTGGGAGAGCTACAACCATATACAGCTATGTTATCCTAAATCATAAGCATAAATAGCTAAATATGAGATAAATGTCCTAT